AATAATATTTCTTAAGAGTCGATCGCTTAAATTTTCAAACGACAATTAGATCGAACTTTCCTAATCAGTTAAGCATATTCAGACATATTTAATTAATATCAGAAGGAATGTAATCATCCAGAGACTTATTTTACAAGTCTGTTTAGTCACCGTTTATTACAACTATGTATGATGTGGTTCGTGTTTATAAGATGTTGAACTTTTGAGTGATTGCAATTAGAAAAGGGTGTTATTAATTAAAATGTATACAAACTTTTTAATTATTTAATGGGATTGTATTTAGCAATAGACGCAAACCTAATCAAATACTATACGTCGATGACTGATATATATTTGGACCAAAGTCCATGAAATTTAAAGAAATGATTCAGAATCATTGTAGTGCCATAATTGCAGTTATAATTCCAACACTGACTAATCAAAATATAAACATTTAATACCAAAAGCAAATATTTTATGCATATAGAAGTAATTGTATTAAATATATAAAACTCTCGTCTCTAAATGGTTGTTATTATACCCTTCACCACACTGTGGTACAGGGTATAATGTCTTTGTGGATATGTTTGTAACAGGCAAAAATAATCGATCTATGCATGTCCGTCCGTCCGTCTGTCCACGTTAAATTGTAAAGAAAGTACAGGTCGCATTTATCATCCTAATTGGATGAAATTTGGCCCAGCTCATTTGTTTGTACCAAGGACGAACCCTATTGAAATTGGGAAAAATCGCTTCAGATTTAGATATAGCTCCCATCAGGGACGTAGGCAGGGGGCGGCCCGGCCCGAGATGAAAATTTTTCAAAGTAAATTTATGTTTGCAACAGCGATATTTTTCATTTTGTACTACCGGGCAATCTTGTTCTCTATCTGCGTAAACCACTTCGGCTAGCTTCTTCAGTTGTCGACAAATTGTGCATGGGTGACCATGTTTTCGCAGTGTCATTGTAAACTTTTATTCTTTTGGTTGTAAGGGCGCAGCAATTATTTCAAACATAACTAATGTATTTTCTTTCATATATATTTTCTACAAAATAAAGTTATTATAAATTTCCGTAAAATACCACAGGTGGGCACCTTTGAACATACCCAGTAAACTCCATTAAAAAACGGAGTTTTTAACTTTTGGCTTCGATTTCTCAAAAATTTCAAATGGGCTAATAAGATTACGGAATTAGCTGTATTTTTCACCATATAAATTTTTGTTTTTAAGTCATTTTATGTTTTAATAAATTTTATTTTTTAATTTTCGAATATTTTTATATATATTTTTAATAAATAAATGAATTTCTGATATATACGAATACAATACATATATATTTGAACATAAACACTGTAAAAAACCATGCCGTTCAAAAATACTAAGCTTTGTTCATTAAAACATTAAAACTTCCTCCATTAAAACAGTAATAAAATATGTATATCATGCTTAAAGTATGTCATATGTATATTTATTTTAAAGGTTACATATGTACCTATTAGTTAAAACTTATAAAAACCCAAAAATTTTAAAATAAAAAATTTTTTTATATAATAGATTGTGCAAAGTTTGATTCAAATCGGACATAACTTTCTCCTAATATGGGATTTATAAATATAGAAAATTTTGACCCTTTGTGGGGGTGGTACCAGAAGATGTAGACCAATGGATCCCATCTTTTTACTTGATCTAGACTTGGTACAGATAATAGGTTGTACAAAATTTGGTTCAAATCGGATAGTCCGTTCGCATGATATTATAAAATTATTTTTTGCACAGTTTTGATCATTTTGTGGGGGAGTTGCCAGGTGGAGTGGACCGATATTCCCCATCTTCGAACTTGAATTATGTTTCGAAGAAATATTAAGATGTGCAAAGTTTGGATGAATTACTCCCTTGGAGAGTTATCGTGTGCCCCAGCCAACGCGCCAGACAGACGGACGGACATTTGTAAATCGACTCCAATTTTTCTGAAATGGTCCAAAGAAACATGGGACCTAAAACCAATATTTCGATGAGGCACATTTTCTCCGTAAATCGGTTCAGATTAAGATATAGATACCATTTATATTTAAGTCCGATTTTTAGAAAATTGTGCACCAAAGACGCAGAACTTAGCCTATTGTCAAAAAATTTTGTAAGACGTACTGATGAAAGTATAGCTGCCATATGTATTTTTATCCGATTTTAAGTAAGTGGTGTTCCAAGACCTAAAATATGGCCGATTGGTATCGGTTCAGATTAAGAACAAAATATATATAGGTGCTATATTCATTGTAGAGCCATTTTAGTACGCTATGCTAAATTTCGTATCAATCGAACAAACATGGGAACTGAGGTGTAAAATGGAACCTCTGTAGGGAGTCAATTGAAAAATATGGACCTATATTGATAAATGTTTGCAAATAATCTTTCTACTAATTAGGATCCCGGAATCCCAAGGTACACAGTCTCTTAGATGGGAAAATGCTAAAAGTGGGCCGGAGCCTAAAAAAACCATGAACATATATTGTAATTTTGCTGTAAAGATCTTTTGAACTCTCCAAGAGCATGGAATACCATATTACAGCCACTTCGGTGGGAGAATGTTGGTAATACCTTCAAAATACCGAAAATGGGACGGGACGTTTATATGAGGGCTATGTCAAAACATGGACCTATCATGAGAGAAACTGAAATACAATTACAGCAAAATAAATAGGAAATAATCCCAAGACTCTCGAAATAATTAAAATCAGAATGTTCATTAATATGGTCGCTACACCGAAAAATGCACCACTAACAACCCAAAATACTAAAGTCATTTCGCCTAGAACCTCCAAAATACAGAATATGTTACGGAACCGCAATATGGGCGGTATATCAACACGTGGTGCGACATTTTTAATACCAATTAACAATTTCATGGATCTTTCATAAACCTTTCAATCTCTATCGTGATTTTAAAATACAGACGAACATAGATCGTTCGACATAGCATTTTTTATGAGTTTATTCGAGGTGTCACAAACGAAATGACAAATTTAATATATAGTACACTCTACCATATCGTGGAGGTTAAGAAGAAGTTTGTCCATCCATGACCAAAGCCGTTTGGGAACTTGGACAAAACTGACAATCCATGACAATAACCCATTGCTCCTTGTAAGAATCTATTAATTTTACAAGTTTTGCGAGTATTTACCACAAAACTAGTAAAACTTTGAAATAAATTTAAGAGAACACCAAATAAAATAGCATTCTCTTTGTAAACTTTTTACTCGAGAAATTTGGCCGAGTGCAAATGGTAAACAGGAATGCCAATTGGCTGTTGTGTTGAATTTGAAGTATTGACATTTAATTTTGAGATATTTACTATATTTCTGTACCCGAACTTGTCGAATTATTTTGTACACTGATAGCGATTTCTACATGTCTCCCTTATACTAGCTTTTCTATTAAAAAGGTACTGGAGTTAGAATTTTAATTTCAAATACGCAAAATATTATGTACGATAAATAAATGTTTATTACCTCACAAAAACGTTTTTAAAATACTTATACATACATGTATATTTTTTATCTCTTCTCTAATAATCCGTTAGTAAAATTTAGTAATTATATTTTGTTCTCAATTCTTCAGCGCTATTATTATTTCTAAATTTCGATAGCATCTAACAGGAACAGCTCTAGTCAATAAAAATCAATTAGATACAATATTTCATTAGAACCTAGTGACCTTAACTACCAAGAAGTACAAAAACTGTAATTATACAAAAAACATCAATAAAATCTAAGCAAAATGCTGTTTTTATTATTATTTAATTATTTTTGTATTTTTTTTTTTTAAATTCTTAGAAGAAATGAACATTAAAATCTTTCATTTATTTATTTTTTTGTTTACAACATCTCTGAAATGTCAACAGATGATGACAGATCGTCATCATATAGACGTTTTAGAACCTGCAAAAACAGCTGCGAAGTTGAAAAAAAAGAAGAAAGAAAAACATCTACAACAATAAATCAATTAGACTTCCGCCGCCCTTAAACAAATATTGTTTTGTTCTAATGAAAACAATAATGTTTTCACATTAAAACAAAAAAATAAGAACAACAAAACAATTCTAAAGTAATTAAATATTATTTTATGTCAGAATCTATGGGAAGGCAACTGGACACGTATTCGTCAATCGAGCGTTTCTTTTATTTATTTAAGTTAACGGAAAAAAGTCACAATAGGCCCGGTAATGTAACATCGTCCAGCCAACATTCAATAAACAAACGGGGTCTAAGACAATAACTGCCAAACCATAAATAAACAAATAGATAAATAAATCAAAAGAAGCGTAGAGAATTACAGCGTATGCCCAGGGATGGAAAGTTGGGATTTATAATAAATAATAAAAAAAATAAAAATTCCAAAATTAAATAATTTTTAAAAAATATTTGTAAAAGATTCACGCCAATAATAATTGAGGTACCAATATATAGAAAACATCCAAGACAATAAGAATCCTTAAAAAAATATTTAAAAAAATACACGCCTATAATAATTAATGAATAATTATTTTAACAAAAATAAACTACATATATATACCAATTCATTTAAAAACTTTGTTAAAAATCCAAGCCCAAATTAAATCTTCAGAAATATATTTTTTAAAACATTCACGCTTATACTAATTCAAGAAAAAATATGTTTAAACTAAATCCACGACCATAATATGTGTGCCCATGATTTTGAATGTGATATAAGTCAAAAATTTTAGAAATCTACTCTGAAGAAAGTAGCAGCATTCCATGCAAATTAAGTCATTAAAATGCATTTATTTTTTAGTTGTTAACTGAAATACAAATATTGTTGGTTTTTATAGTGGTATAAGTCAGTGTGTTCACAAAGTAATTTTGTCATGTCTTCAGATAGTGGTTCAGGTAGGATGAAGTAAAACTTTTAATGTAAAAATCTACTATTTAAAGTTAATTGTAGACATTTTACGGCGAATAAATGGAAGTAGTTCTCGCAAGAAATTTAAACAAATAAGAATGATATCGTCTTCTGATGAATCAGATGCAGAACCCATACAAATGGAAGAGCGCAAAATGAAATCAAGAAAGAGGACACGCAATCCACAGGATTATGCTCAAAATATAAGAAAACTGAAGAGAAATAGTGGAGAGGAATATGAAACAAAAAACTCTAAGCACGTGAGTGCTACACTTTTCGAAAATAAAGATTGTCTTTGTTCCAAAAAGTGTTTAAATGGAATTGGATACGAAGACAGTAAAACTAATTTAGATTATTTTTGAAAATTAGCAAATTTTGAAAAACAGAATCTGTTTCTGTGTGGTTTGATTACAAAACAATTAATAAAATGGAGTCTTAAGTTTCATCTATATGTAATTTTAAGTTCGGAAGTTTCTGTTTGCAAAACATTTTTTTGGATACTTTCAAAATATCTAACGGAAGATTAAGTCGTGATTTAAATTCTGAAACACCTGGAATGGATGGTCATGGCAAAATGGCTAGTTCATCTAGAAAAACAGATGAAGGAGAGATCATGTTCAGAGTTTTCCAGCATGTGAGAGCCATTACACGAGATTACGTCACACTTCAGGTCGAAAGTTTCTAAGTGCTGACTTAGATATTCAAAAATTTATGGGGTATATGTGGAAAAATGTGATGAAAATAATACATCATGTGTAAAGGAGTGGACTTATAGAAAAATATTTAATATTGAGTTCAACCTAAATTTTCATACTCCTCGTAAAGACACGTGCCAAAAGTGTGATTCGATAAAACTAAAAATTGAATCATGCAGTAATGAGGACGAAAAGTAGCATCTTATGGAAATTCATGATTCACATCTTAAAAGTGCCGAACAGGCTAGAAAAGTTTAAAAGATGACATACAAAAAACAAAAGATAACCCGAAAGAAATTTACGGATTTGCATTTGACCTACAAAAAGCGCTTCCTTATCCAAAACTTTCTGTTTCGGTAGCTTACTATAAGCGCAACATGTATGTATACGATTTAGGGTTTCATAATTTCCACAATGAAAATGCTAAAATGTATGTATGGGATGAAACAATCGCCCCATACATACATTTTAGCATTTTCATTGTGGAAATTATTATCAGTCATCTGATAATAATGTTGAAACTATTGATCATAAATTTATGGTATCCGGCCATTCTTTCTTGCCAAATGATCGGGATTTTGGTTTAATAGAAACTAAAATTAAAAAATCTAATTATTTATACGTCCCTGAGCATTATTATAATTTAATAGAATCATGTATGATTAGAACCCCATTTTCGGTATCAAAAAGGATCGAAAAGATTTTATTTCTACAAAACAACTAAAAGAATCAAGGAATAATAGAAATAACATCAATGGAGAAGCTGTGCCTTGGTTAAAAATACAATGGATCAGATTTCTAAAAACTTCCCCATATAAGATGTTTTATAAAACTTCCTTGGATGACAACTCCGAATTCAAAGTATTAGACCTCTCACCTAAAAAAGGAAGATCTAGAATATACGGAAATATTACTAACAAAATTGTTTAATTTTTTGTATAAGTGATTTATAAAGACATGCAGTTAATTTTGAAAGTGGTACAAGTCATTTAAACCTTTCAAAACCACATTTTCTTTTAAAAATGGCAATAAATTTCACAATCATAATAAATACTTGTTTGTTGGGACTACTTTAATGTCGCAAAATCATAATCCATAATGCAAGGATATTTTTTAATCCTTTAAAATGCAAAACTCTAAATATCTCGAAACAAAAAAAATATGACTTATACCACTTTCAAAATCATGGGCACATGTATATATTTTTAAAAAAAGCTATAATACCCTGACAACATAGTTGTGTAGGGTATAAAAATCCACGACAATTACATATTTATGAAAAATATTTTTAAAAAATCCTTGAACATTTTATGTTTAAAAAAATACTTTTAAAAATCCACGACCATAATATATATAAAAAATAAATTTAAAAAATCCACACCTATAATAATTGTTAAAAAAATATATAATACAATAATTGTTACAAAATATTTTTTCAAAAATCCATGCCTATAATAATTATTTACAAACATATTTTAAAACCAGTGAGCGGAGCAGCATAGTCGGACGGGGTCGACCACAGGATACCCTACACAACTATCACGTAACTCTTACTTTCTGCGGATGTTTATTTCGGGCCTGGGCAATATTTCGTGATATTTGCACCCTCCTGACCGATTAGAGGTCAACAGCATCTCTTCCCTAAACTGAGTTTTCCGTCCACTTCATCCCAAATTTATTATGTGTTCAACACCGAAAATTATAGGCGTTGTCCTTAACAATAACTGGAACCTCTTGGAAAATTTTAAAGCGATCAGCGCTATATTTCTGCCCTCTAATGTTAATGGGTTACTAAACTCGGGTTACCAAAACTCGCCCTACATGCAAAATTTTGTGAAGATTTATAATGAACAGACGGAGGGACACACATGTCTAGATCGACTCAGCTAGTCGAGATATGACGATCGGTATACCTAAAAGTGGTTCTAGGACCAATATTTCGCAGCGTTACAAACTCTTGGCGCTATAATACCCTGACAACATAGTTGTGAAGGTTATAAAAATCTACGCTTGTATAGATGTATCCATTAAAAATCTCAAATAATTGATGTTATCACATAAACGATTTTTTTCAATATTCCACAACATGTGATTGAGTTTTGTTTACATTTGTTACCGGTTTTTTGGTTTTTTTTCTTGCACTTCTGCCAAAGAATCAAAATCATGTCTGAAACTGGTCCAACTGAAAATCCGATACCCTAGTTATTGTCACAAAATGAAACTTGAAATTGCAATTCATGGCAGCAATTTGAACTTTTATTTCGACGAATTGCAAAGTTCATGGCTTACAGACCAGCCAACATACATACACACATTTTGGGCTATGGTATTTAATGATCTGTTTTTGTATAATTTTTGTTTGCCTTCACCTTCAAGGAATTTAATGGCACATTTTTGAAAGTAGTTCAAACAGGAAGAGGATTTCATTGATAAAAGCGGAGGGAAACAGCAATGATGGAACTTGTTATTAAATAAAAATATCGCTATGTATATAAGTGCGTTTGTTGAATAATGTTATTAAATAAAAAAACGACAAAACAAAATGAATTCTCCAGCATGATTTATACAAATTTTCATGCACTAAAACCAATCAACGAATAACTTGTTCCACTCCTATAGAAACTCCACCAATACATAGGTTTTGAACACCGGGCTGTAAAACGAGTGATGCCTCAATTTCACGTTTATTCCATCAGGTCTCGTCACATGTTGGCTGTTTTGAGGGTATAAACCGAAATTTTCTAACAAAATGGGTTTAACTGGAGGGGTTCTTGGAGGTTCTTTCTGAAAAATGTTCAATACAAATCCAAATAAGTATAAGCCTCCATATAATTTTCTAACCGTACTTGCCATTGTGGTTTCTCAGAGATTTAAAAAAATCGATTTAGAAAATTTATAAGTCAGTGCTCCCATATTAGGATCCTGCGCCATTTTCGTTGTTTTGAAAGTGGTAATCGTATCTTTCTACCCCAGTGACTTAAATAATATATCCAGAACATTTTATTTTTTAGGCCCATTGTAACGATCCTCACCATACTTTATTTCTTCTGATTGATGCTACCGTGCTCAGGGCTTGGGGGTGTTATCAATGATAGTATGAAGGATGTCTTTGAACCTTAGGTGTTTGAGATTCGTCGGTTTTCCCTCCCTACCTGCATCGACAAGCGCTTGTTGATCAGCTGTTTCAATAAAAATGTTCCTAATAATATTAATTAAATTGTGAGTATTACGATTACTGTGAATATGAATAGGGTACGTTTCAACCAAGGCGCTATTATTCACTAAAATTCATGCCCATTTCCATCAGAAAAACGCTAGATGGTCTCTTATTATAAAATTTGGCAATATTTCAATGGGAAACCAGTAAGGAAAGTAGTAAAGTCGGACGGGGCTGACTATATGATACCTTTTACAACTTTGGCTATATTCATGAAATACATTCTTACGGACCTTGAATTTTTGAAGAACCATCAGCGTAAAATTCTACGACGACTTATGCAGGTCCGTCTTTCTGTTGTAATCACTCTAGCGTCTAAACGCATTGAGATAGATCGCCAAAATTTTGCATAAAGTTGTCTCTTGTCTGCAGGTCCGAAGATGAACTTTATCGGCACACGTACCAAATGTCTCCACTAAAAGTTATTAATATAGGTCCAATTTTTTGGGTAGCCCCCATATAACGGTTAATCCAGACCCATTTAATCGGTCACGCTTTAAATCGTTGGTGCACCATTTGCGAAAAATCGGAAGAACATATATATGGGAGCTATATCTAAATCTGAACCGATTTCAATAAAAGTTGGCACACGTTAGTCCATCCTAACTTCAGTACGTGGTGCAAAATTTCGTGCCAATCGACCTAAATTTGACTCTTTGATGCACCATTTGCTTTAAATCGAGCGATAATATATATGGGATCTATATCAAAATCTGAACCGATTTCAATAAACCTTGACACACGTTAGTCTATCCTAGCATCAGTACGTTGTGCAAAATTTCGTGCCAATCCGCCTTAATTTGACTCTTTTGTGAACCATTTGCTAAAAATCGGACGAAAATATATATTGGAGCTATATCTAACTCCGAACCGATTTTTCCCAATTTCAATAGGGTTCGTCCCTGAGCCAAATAAATGATCTGTGTCAAAATTCATCTGATTCGGATAATAAATGCGACCTGCACTTTGTTCTCAATTTAACATGGACGACAGACGGACATGCATAAATCGAATCAGAAATTGATTCTATGCATATTCTCAAAAGGAACCATAGGTCTATCTCGTTTCCTTTTGCCTGTTACAAACATATGCACAAAGAAATAATACCTTGTACCACAGTGTGGTAAAGGGTATACAAATTTCGTAATGATCCAAGACCTTAGGAATCAATGTTGTTATTGATTTTATTAGCAGTTGAGAATATTTCCAAAACAAAATCCTTATAAATTCCGCATTATCCGTAACATTCAAATTGATTTGAATGTATTATATTTTAGCTTCTGGTTTTATCCGTTTTTTTTTCTTTTTTAATTTTATAATTATTCCCGAATTTTACTTCTTTCCAGCT